CGAGGCCGGAGCCCAGCCCCCAGGCAGGACGGCCGAGTTCGGACCCTCGGCCTCAGCCTTCCCAGGGACTAGGGGATCGCAGTTACCGTCGTGAAGACGACAGGAGTACCCCTGGGGCCTGGCACACAGTAGGTGCCTATCTCAGCCTCGGTTTCTTCATCTGTGAAAGCGGGTCATGCCAGCACCAACCTAATGGGGCTGTTAGGAGGATTCAGGAGGTGGCAGATGAAGAAAGCGCCCTGCACACAGTAGGTGGTCAATAAGTGACCAGTCACCTTCCGCAACCTCCTTCTCAGAGAGGCTCTGCCAGGAAAACAGTATAATATAATGACCCGGACACTTGCTTAGCAGAGTGCCTGCCTGTTAGTGGGTGCTCAAAACAGGGTAGCCGAAATTTATAGGATTAGCTCATTTAGTCACCTAGGGACAATATTAGGAGGAAATGCTAGAAATGTTCCTTGCTATAGGGATGAGGAAATCAAGGCTCAGAGAGGTCAAGTCTTTTGTGCAGGGCTACACAGCAGGTTAAGGTCAGAGCTGGGATTAGAACTTGGCCTCCAATGCAGGGCCGTGCAAGTACTGGAGGGCCCACAGGAACCTCTCTGTGGTAAGCGCAGAGGAATGAATGTATTTCACAGATTCCACCTTTATCCTAAAAATGAGCATTTGTTGAGTGCTTACTGTGTGCCAGGCACTGGCTGTACCTTGTTTTATCAAACTCTCCCAACGGCTCAGTAAGCTGATGTTGGTAATTAATTACAAGAGCTAATATTTACTGATTTATTCATATTTATGTAAGTATGAGCTGGGTATCATTGTGACCCCCATTTTACAGAAGAGAAATCCAAGGCCCAGAGAGTGAAACATTTGAACCAAGAGGACATTGTAGGGATTAGGGCCCTCTGACTCCTCTTCTGTCAATTTCCTGCCCTCAGAAAAAGGAGGCTGAGTAGGTGTGGAAAGGTTGTGATGCCCTGGTGCCACCCCAGATAAGCCTAGCCAAGGGAGAGCTTTGTTGGAGGAGTTGAGCCTGGGGGCTCCTTCTCAGGAAGCCGCTCAGCAGACACAGTCCACTAGCTCTGTCAACTTATTTGACAAAGAAGGATGAGGCCCAGAAAAGCAAAATGACTTATTCCAGGACACATAGCATCAGTAACAGAGTCAGGACTTTAAAGAACCCAGGTTTCTTGAGTCCCAGAACCACTCACTGGACTTAGTTCAAATCCTGGCACTGTCCTGTCTTAGCTGTGTGACTTGGAGCAAGTAGCTTCTTCTCTCCGAGCCTCAGTCACCTCACCTGTCAGATGGGGATAACTATTGGACTTTTGTCATAGGTTTGTTGTGAAGACTCATTGAAATCCATCTCCTGGGCACTGGGCCAAGTTTGCTGGAGGCATTGGCTCCCTCTCCCATCCCAGCAGCCCCAGAGCTGAGTCCACCCTGCAGCCACCCCAGCCTTGCATCCAGCCTTAGAGTTTGGCCTCTGTCAAGCCCAGGCCTCTGGAGTTTGCCCAGACCTTTAGCCTCTAAACATTTCCTATTCCCATCATGGATGCTGGTAGACCAGGGTCTGGGGGTCAAGAGACCTGGCTCTCCCACCTTGCTCTTCCACAGGATGAATGGGGCCACTCTGAACCAGATGCAGGGCCAGGCACTGCAGATGACTGATGTGTGGGAGACAGACGTGGTTAAGCCAGTAGATGAAGAAGTGAGAGCATTTCAGAGAAGGGCACATTCTGCAAGGGCCATGATGTGGATACCAGTGGCGCTTTGGCCAGGGTGGTCAGGGGAGGCCTCGCTGGGGAGGTGAACTTTAAAGGGGACACTTCTTTTTTTTTATTTTTTTTAATTGAGTTATAGTCATTTTTAAAGGGGACACTTCTAACAGCAGTTTGAGTTCAGTAAGCTTAGCACAGTACCCAGCTGGCAGTAGGTACTTAGTAAACAGTAGGTGCTATTGTTATTCGGGTGATTTGTAGGCCTGACATTGGCAGATTGGCCAGTGGCTATCCTTGCAGGGGCAGGAGACATGGCCTCCCTGCTGCACGCATTCCCTTGGGTAGTCTAGCTGCATCCCTCCTGACCTCTGAGTTGGAAGCTCTGGCCACAGGCACACAGGAGGGACAGCAGTGTCCACAACATGCCAGGCCTGGCCACTGCCTTGCGGATGTTATCTCAGTCACACAGCCTTCCTCCCGGGTTCCTTCTGCCTCTGGGCTAACACTTGCTTATCTGGCCGACAGCAGCCCAACTATGGAGGCTCAGAAGGGCCTGTTGGGCCACAAGGGCTTCTGGCTGAGCTGTTCAGAGAGCGTTGATCAGGCAGCAGACCGTCCTGGTGCAAAAAGTTAGCCAGTAACTCACACTGCTTTTCTTCCCACCTCTTTGTTTGGGTTTCAGAGTTTGGCTGGCAAAGGTTGGTAAAAATCAACTGTAGCGGTGCCTCAGGGAGTGTTTCTGAGGTCTCTGAACCATAGCTTCTGGGGACAAATGGTGGCATACAAGCCGATTTGGGGACAGGGGTCCTCAGCTTCAGAGCACATGTATTGGCTTCAAGGGGATTCTGTTACTTTCATGGTGTTCTCAGAGAGAAACACACAAGCCTCACCGGCCGCTTCTCGGATGAAAGCGAAGCTTGCCAAGGGTTCCTTTTTGGCAGGTCAGACCTTGCACTGGGGAGAGGAACCCTGCTGAAGTCACCCACCCAGAGCAGACTCCATATTGCTGCTGGAGACTCCTGCTGCCTCCTGTGGCCTCTCCTTGGGGACAGAGGCACGGCTTAGAGCAGCTTCTCTGGTAGGTGGGGACAGAGACTACCATGGTCCTCCCCGGCCTGGGCCACTTCCTTGATAACACGAGTTATCAAGGAGCTCAGAGCCCTGCAAGAGGCTGTGAACCAGAAGGGTTAAGGTGACTCACCAGCGTGGTCTGTTGGGCCAAGTTTTTAGGTCAGGTCCATCCCCCTCCAAGGCAGGCTTATGATGTCTGAGCCCGGCCCTGGAAATCGATTCACAGAGAACAGTCCCTACGTGGCTGGCCGCCATGGTTCTGGTCCTGACAGGTCCTGCCACACAGCACGTGCTTAGTCGCTGTTGAGCGCAGTTACCATGTCTGGAAAGGTGATGGTGGGGGTGACCTGCATGCTTTGAGGGCTGGGCTGGCTTTTTTTTAGAAGAGTCAGAGAGAATATAACTGAGCTCCCGAAGAGGGCCAGGCCAGGGTTGAGCAGCACGTGTGATCTCATTAAATCCTCACAGCCCACTCCAAAACCCCATCTTACAGACTGGGTAACTGAGGCTCAGACAGCTGGATTTGGTCTGTGTGTGGTTTGTAACCTTGCCCTTAATCTTCCTGCTGGCCTCTCGCCAGGCTCCTGGGACCATGGGCCTTGGGCCCTGAGGACACGGGGCTCCTTGTGGCCATGACGACGGGTGACTGCTGTCACCTCCCCGGCTCCCTGTGCGACTGCTCCGGCAGCCCCGCCTTCTCCAAGGTCGTGGAGGCCACGGGCCTCGGGCCACCCCAGTATGTGGCACAAGTGACTTCAAGGGACGGCCGGCTCCTCTCGACTGTCATCAGGGCCTTGGACACACCGAGGTAAGTGGTGACCAAGCCAGGGTCTTCACCTCTACTTACTTTGCTCTCTGGCCCAAGGGATTTCCTCCCAGCCCCGGGGTCAGAAATCTAACCGCCTTAAGGGGCCTGGTGGGTAAAGAGACCAGAGAAAGGGGCCCAGTCAATAATGAGCCCGCAGAAACAAGAGGCCCAGGCTAGCTAGGTCTGATTCTGCAAGAAAGGCAGAGACTCCAGATTATTCTGTGAAATCTGAAGATCAGACGTTGGTGGGTAGCTCACATCTAAGGGAGGCAGCGTGAGGGAGTGGTTGGCCATGCAGGCTGTGGACCCCTGCTGCCTCAGCTCCAGTCCTAAGTGAAAGCCTCTCTCCTTGAATGACCCAGAACAAGTTGCTTCAATCGCACATCCCTAGCCTGGGGACAGCTTCTTCTTTGGGTAGTTCTGAGAGTCCGTTGCTGTGGTCCACAGAAAGCTCCTGCAAGGGGCTTTGCCACCTTGTAAGCCTTTGAGAAATGTCTTGAAACCTCGGTAAAGCCTGCCAGGCTCACATCACACGTGCGTGGAATCTGCCTGGCTCACCCATTTGTCATCAATTCCAAGGAAAAGAGATTTAAGGAAATCCTACACCAACTGAAGTCCATGTGAACTCATTAAGATTTAAAATAGCCACCAGTTTTCTGATTGCAATGTGTGGTTGTTATGTTTATACAATATGATTAAATTCATATGCTTTTCTTTCCAATTTTTTTTATTGTTAAGCTATCATATACAATTAAGTTTCTTAACCATTTTAAAGTGTACAGTTCAGTGGCTTTAAGTGGATGCAAGGTGTTGTGCAACCATCATCACCATTCAACCGCCTAGCTTTTTTTTTTTTAAATGCAGGTACTGGGGATTGAACCCAGGACCTCATGTATGCTAGCATGTGCTCGACCACTGAGCTATACCTTCCCCACCAACCCCATAACTTTTGGTCTTGCAAAACTGAAACTCTGGCCCCACTAAACACTGACCCCCCCCGCCCAGCCCCTGGTACCCACCATCCTGCTTTCTGTCTCTACGGATCTGACCCCTCTAGGGACCTCCTATGAGTGGAATCAGACACTATGTGTCCTTCAGGGACTGGCTTCTTTCACTGAGCATCCTGTCCCTAAGGTTCATCCATGTAGCAGGTGTCAGAATGAACTCATAAGCTTTTCATTCACCCATAAAAAGAAGCCAGTGGAAGCCTTGCTGTGCTTTGGAGGGCGCTCACTGCTGGTCACCCTCTAAGCCTCTACCTGGCATCACTTCCTCCAGGAAGCCTTCCTAAGCCCGGATGAGATTGGGAGTTCTCCTTCTGGGCTTCCTCCAGGATGTCGGTTTTTATGTCTGCGTCTCCATCAGACCCCTTGAGGTCGGGACTGGGTCTGTGCTGCTTGAGCAAGGCTAGGAGCAAGGGGACCCTTGGCAGGCTCAGGGGTCTCATAGCCAGAGCTGCCAGGGTGGGGAGCGGGGGAGGAGGCCTCCCTCTCTGGGGTTCCTGAGGGCCCCTGAGTGAGTGATGGGTTGACATCACCTTGCGCCACCCTCCCTTTTTACACCTAGGGAAACTGAGGCTGAGAGGGAGCTGGATGCCCGCCTGAGTCACTGAGCCTAACCAGGACTCCCCTTTGGGTGCTGGGGGCAGGGCGGGGAGAAGCTTATTCGGTCCCATCAGCCTACCCTGCAGCCCTCATAGACCCAGGCAGGCAGCGGCAGCCCAGCGCAGCAGCCTCTCCGTGGTCCAGCTGGTGGTCAGGGCAGCCCCGCCCACTGAGACCACAAGACCCTCTTGATCTGCCCCCCTTGGCCTCTTCGCCGCTGGCTTCTCCCCTCCGCCTTTTGATGCAGCTCAACCCCAGCTTGCCTGAGCTGAAGGCCTGGGCAGAACAGCCCTTCCCAGAGAGAAGGTGGCTGTTTCTCAAGTAAATGAGGATCCACCCACCACCACAGGCTGGGAGAGGTGCTGGGTTTGGCCGAGGCCACCATGTACCTCCTTCCCCTTGCCCTGTAACTTGTCTTCCTTACCAGCCTCTGCCCTATGCGAGCAGGGAGGGTGGGGCTCAAAGATAGCAAACCCAGCGCCTGGCTGGTCCCACAACTGGAAGATCAAGTCTTACATTTCGCCTCAAAGGAGACCCTGATTCCTGGGGGCACGTGACACCCCAAGTGGGGCAGAAAGTTCCTGGGCCCTGAAACCTGAAACCCGAGAGGCATCCTGCAAAGGCTCAGGCTTGGGGCCAGCATCTGGGGCCCCTCCAGCCTCTCTGAGCCTCAGTCCTCTCTGTCCCCCCCGCCCCTCCCAGTCTGTGAGCTAGCCCAGGCCCTCCTGGAAGCTGCTCTGGGCATTTCTGCATCCCCAGCCCTCCACCTGCCCTCCTTCTGCTGCCTGCCTCCCATGGCTTCCTCACTCACACTCCCTTCCGCTCATGGGGGATGCTATGGGCCGCTCAACCAGGGTCCATGGATGTCTCACCCACTCCGCCAGCCCATTTCCTTCTCACTTGTATCATTTGCATTATTTTCCTGCCAAAATTTCTTGAGAGTGAAGCCCATTTCCCTTGCTTTCCCACCTGGTGGCAGGCATCTTATGTAGCAGAGTCTAACAGGGGCGCTGGAGCGACTTCCTGGGCTCGAATCCCCGCTTTGCTCACGACTAGCTGTGTGAGTTTGTACAAAACGAGTTACGTTGGAGACCTCGATCAAGTCATGCCTCGATGCCTCAGTTTCCCCATCTATAAAAAGGGGGGCAGAAACAGCACCTTCTTCATAGGCTGCCTGTGATAACGAGACAAATTAGCCCAGATGTCGCCCTTTGAATGGCATGAGCGCTCAATAATAAATCAGTTTGCATTTTATTTTCTTTGGTTTTGTTTTCTGTGAACTTGCTCCTCCAAAGTAGGGTTCCCCGGGACAAACGCCAGACTGATGTGGCTCTCCCTCAAGGTCCCCGTCACTTCCACTTCCCCGGCTTGGTTTCCGGAGCAGGGATCTCTTTCCCGTTAACTTCGTGTAGGGGGGGGCATGGGATCAGGTTGTGGGAGCAGAGTGGAGCCTGGCCTGCCCTTTTGACGTTGTAGGACAAAGCAGTCCTGGCATAGGACTGATGACCAGAAAGCAGACCTTAGGGGTCAGCTCAGTTCTTGGGTTTCAAAGCATCCAGGCCCTGCCCCCCAGCAGAAGACACAGAGAAAAGAATAAAAAGTTTCCAAGGTGAAATCAGCATTATCTGGAAAACAGCTCTCCTGCTCCGCCTCCTTCATGTGTTCCCCGCAGTCCGCTCTCTGGGCAGAAATGTCTGGAAAACAATGACTCATGTACTGGACTGCCTCTGATCCTACCAAGGCCACGCCCCTGGCCTCCTGAGCTGCCCCAGGAAGGACCCAGCATCCCCTGAGACTGGACTGGAGCCGAGACTTCCCCGAAGCATCTTCCTGTGGATGCTATTTATGTCTGTTTTCTGAGCCTCACTAGAGCAGAGGAGCTGGGAAGCTCTTCTCCCTGGATGTGCACGTTTCTCAGGTAGCATGGCCTTCAGGTGTGGCTAGATCGAGAGGCTCTAAGGATGTCCTTGAGAGCTGCCTTTCCCTGTCTCTTGGCTCTGCTTTCCTCTGTTTTGGCATTATTCACAGACTCCACGTGGAGACCAGGCTGGTGCCAGACTTACATCAGCCATGCTGCCCATAGATCTGGAGTTTAGGGGAAAAAAAAAAAAGAATTTCAGGAATTAATTCCCAGTGGCTCTGATTGCATCACATATACCCTTCCCCCAGTAGGTCCATGTGACCAGGGGTGTATTGTGTTTTGATTGGTCAGGCCTAAGGACATCAGGGGTGTTGTCCGTGCTGCCCCAGTCCTTAAGGATCAGGAGTTGAGAGTGGGTGGTTGCCCAGCACCAACAGGGTGGTATTGTACCAAAAGAAAGAGCAGGTGCTGGGCAGGCAGGTACAAGTGATGCTCACTGTGGGCCTAAAAAGGTGCCACAGGAACTCCAGGGAGAAGCACATCCCTCTACCTATGGGAGTCTGGGAAGGCTTTCCAAAGGAAAGGGCATTTGGAGCTGGGCATTGAAGGATGAGTAGGAGTTTTCCACGTGGCAGCAGAGGGGCAATGCTGCCCTTGTGATCCAGTGTGTAGTGAAGCGGCACAGGCAGGAAGCTTGATCATTACTCATGTGTCCTGTCTCTGTGTCTAGCGATGGTCCCTTCTGCCGGATCTGCCATGAGGGAGCGAACGGGGAGAGCTTGCTGTCTCCATGTGGTTGCACTGGCACTCTGGGTGCCGTGCACAAGAGCTGTCTGGAGAGGTGGCTTTCCTCATCCAACACCAGCTACTGTGAGCTGTGCCACACAGAGTTTGCAGTGGAGAAGCGACCCCGGCCCCTCACAGAGGTACGCTTGGGAGCCTGAGGTTGGAGCAGGCAGAGGGGAGGAAGGCAGGCCTGGGGCCAGAGGAGGGAACTGCCTGGAGGGTCCTGGTGGGCTGGGGAAGCAGCTTCTCTCTAGAGGAGAACCTCTGCTGATGGGGGTGGCAGACCTGATGGACCCTGTGCCCCCCTTCCCTGTTTTGGTCACTTCAGGTGACCCTGAAGCTGAGACCTGAGGACTAAGAAGGGGCCCCAACCTGGGGAAGGGCAGTCCTGCCAGAAAGGGCACAGCAAGTGCAAGGGCCCTGAGGCCAGGAGGAGTTTGATGAAGCCCATGTGGCTGGAGTGCAGAGAGTTAAAGGGGGAGGAGAGGGGCCTGGAAGGAGGGGTGGTGGCCTCACTGGGTTTTGTGGGCCCAGCTGAGCTGGGAAGCTTAGACTGTCGTCTGAGTGTGATGGGTCAGGGTATTCCCAGGTGTGACTGGAGCCGCTTGGCTTCCCAGAGCACTGTGGGCCTCCTGGGCACCCTCCAGATTCCTCCCTGCCCTCCCTGTGAACTGCAGGATGATGTCACCGGGCTGAGGTGGAGGCTCCTGGGAGGGCCCCTGGCCCACCCAGGACTTGGGCTATAAGAGGACAGTGGGAGGGAGAGCCAGCCTGTCTGCACCCCCTCCCCCTTCTCCATCGTGCTCCCACCTCCTCCTGCCTACACTTGGTCTGGACCACACTATCACCCCAGTGTCTTTGCACATGTTGTTCTTACAGACAGGAGCACCGTCTCCCCTACTCTTTGTGCAGCTCCTTTGGTTCTCCTGTGTCACATCCTTGGCAAGGCCTTCCCTGCCCTGACCACCCAACCCGTTTCATGGCTCCCCTGACTAGTGCTGGGGCTCTGGGAGGGCAGGGACCTTTTCCATTCTACTCATCAGAATTTTGTGATGAAGCGCATTTCTCTTGCCCCAACATCCATGGCACGCGGTGTAGCATAGCGGCCAAGGGCGCACAGTCCTTGGGGCCAGACTTCCTGGGCTCCAGGCCTGGCTTTGTGGATGACTTGCCCATGTGCATTGGCACAAATTAGTCAGCCGCTCTGTGCCCTCAGTTTCCCCTATTTGTAAAATGGGGGCAGAATGCCTAGCACCTGTCAGGGCCTGTCCTGTCCTAGTCTCAGGAAGTATTTGAAAGAAGGAAAGGATATGGGGAGGGGGTGTAGCGCCAGGCAGAAGGCTGGTCCTACAGGGATCAGGGGTGAAACTGAGCGTCAGCGGAGGGGAGAGCAGAGTATGGGGGTCCCACACCCCATTCACCCAGTGGATGCTCTAGGGAGGGCAGTGCAAGGTCCCCCTCACCATCTCTTCCTGCCTCGTTCTTCTCCACAGTGGCTGAGGGACCCGGGGCCTCGGACAGAGAAGCGCACGCTGTGCTGCGACATGGTGTGCTTCCTGTTCATCACGCCGCTGGCTGCCATCTCGGGCTGGCTGTGCCTGCGCGGGGCCCAGGACCACCTCCGGCTGCACAGCCGGCTTGAGGCCGTGGGGCTCATCGCCCTCACCATCGCCCTCTTCACCATCTACGTCCTCTGGACGCTGGTGAGTGGCTGGTCACAGGGGGTCAGGCCAGGGGTTTGGTCTGTGGCTTTGGGGAGCACTGCTCTGCCTGCCTCTGCTTATGGCCCTTGGATGGAAGCGATTCCCAACATCTCACGGAGCTCCACATTCCAAGCCTGACCAAGGTCCAGGGAAGCCCTGAGCCAGGCATGAGCCTCCTGCCCCAAGGATGCAAGGGTACCTGATCATCTCTGCTGAGTGTAGACCCCTCATCCTCGAGCCCACCAAGACTGGACTGGCCGGGAGAGGTGGGGAGAGGAAGAGAGCCACCAAGAGCCTGGGAGAGAAAGAGTAGGAGGATAAGAGACACACAGAGAGAGGGGACGATCAAGAGACTGAGAGCAAAGGGACTGGGATGGAGAGAAAGTGACTGTGGTGGGGGTGTCATCCTGGCTTCCAGCTTCTGGCTTCCCGCAAGCGTTAGAACCCTTGCTCAGAGAGGAAAGGTTCCCAAAGTCCAGCCCCTCAGATAAAACCACTGTTACCCGGCTGTGGGGGTGTTGCCTCCTCGATAATTCCTTCCCAGTGCTTCCACCAGCATATTTTTTTAAAAGCTTTTTTAAATTGAAGTATACACCAGCGTATTCCTTAATACAAACGAGATGAAGTCATGTGCACTGCTCTGCAGTCTGCTTGTTTTCACTTTGCTGATGTCCTTTACAAAAAAAGACAGCCACCCAACAATCGTTCATCATACGAGTGTGCTATATTTGCTGTATTTATCTAACTAATCCCTTTTGATGGACACTGGGATTCTTTCCAATGTTTTTCTTTTCTTTTTTTTCGCCATTATAAACAGTGCTTTGGGTGCCACCCATGCACACGTTTCTTGGAACTTACTTGGTCAAAGAAGATGGATTTTTGACATTTAATTGAAAAAGTGAGGTTTTTAAAATATACTTTATTACTGCAGTTTTAAGCTTTACAGCAAAATTGGGAAGCAGGTACACAGTCCTGAAAAATCCTCTTCCACAGCCGCACAGCTGCACAGCTTCCCCTGCTAGGAACGTGACACCAGAGCAGTACATTCGTTATGACTGATGAGCCAATATTGACATCCTGATCACCCCAAGTCCATGGTTTACGTTAGGGTCCACTTTTGGTGTTGAACAATTTGTGGATTAGGACAAATGTGTAATGGCAGGTATCCACTATTAGAGGAGTAAATAGAATAGTTTCATGGCCCTAAAAATCCTTTGTCCTCTGCCTCTTCATCCTTCCCTCCCCCAGCCCTTGGCAACCACTGATCCTTTTACTGTCGCCATAGTTTTGCCTTTTCCAGACTGTCCTAGAGTTGAAATCATGCAGTATGCGGCCTATTCAGATCAACTTCTTTCACTTCATAATATGCATTTAAGTCTCCTCCATGTCTTTCACGGTTTGGAGTTCATTTATTATTTTTTTTAATTTTTATTTTATGCTTTTTAACACCTTTATTGTGGTATGGTTCCTGTACAGTAAACTACACATATTTCAGATGTACAGTTCGATGAATTTTGATAGGTGT